TGAGGCCAAGATTGCTCTATGGCTCTTGTTGCAGGCTTTGTGTCTCCCTCCGACCTGGAGCTGGTTGTGGATCACCTCATCCGTCTTGCCCTGTGTGAGGAGGATTCCCAGAGCAGGTGAGAGACAGCTGGCACCACTGCAAGCCTGACTTTGCTGCAGAGAGGGGCTGTAGTCTGGGGGAATGCACAGGAACTGCCTGAACTAAAAGATGATGTGGGTGTAAGAGCAAATGGATAAACCAGGCGATTTCTGGGCTGGAAATAAGGAAGTCTGGGCCTGTCAAAGTAGGCTTAGCTCTGCCTGCCAGTAGGGTGAAATAGATTGCTGAGAAATGGGTTTCTGGAGGCATCTTCTGGCCCAGATTGGTGCAGCTGGTGTACGAGCTGCACAGGGTTTGCAGTGCTCACATCACCCCCCCTGCTCTCTTCCCCTGTGGCAGTGAAGCAGCAATGGAGGCAGCCGGATCTCTGGCCCCCATCTACCCAAAGGTTTTCTCTGGGCGCATGGTGCCCAGGCTTGAAGAGGAGCTGCAGTCAGGTAGGGCTGGTGTCTGTGGGAATGGAGTGATGTCTGGTTTTGGGGTGAAGCCTGGCCCATCCCCATTAGGCTCCTATCAGGCAGTGGGTCTGTGCCATACGGCATAGATCAGTGACTCCCCTTCTCGTGGGGGGGGGATTCCCAGCCCAGGCACTATGGTGCTGGCATGAGGAAGACCTTGCCTGAGGCTGGCTACCAGCCTCTGTGGCCAGGATCAGCCCTGTGCGGGAGGAGCTGCCTAGCCACAGAGCAGGCAGAGTGCCTTGGGCCTGGCATGGGCTGGTTCTGCTGTGCTGCTTCACCTCAGCCACCCTGGCAGGATGTGGGCCCTGAATGCCCTTGGGTGAGGGGCTCTGGGGTCACCCCAGCACCCTTCTGAGGTGTGTTTCCTCTTCAGAGAGGGACGAGGAGAGCTCCCGAAACCACTGCTCCCTGCGACAGTGCTGCCTGCAGGCCCTGGCAGCAGTGTCCACCCACACCAGCATCGTGAGGGAGACCGTCCCTGTCCTGCTGCAGCATCTCCGGAAGGTGCAGAAAGGTAACACAGCCTACAGCAGACAGCTTCATGGAGCGCATCTGGGTAGGAGCTGCCTGTTACCAGTGATGTCTGAAAGAGAGTGGGCATGGCAGTGGAGTGAGGAGCCCAGGGCTGGGCTGTGAATCTACCACTGGAGTGGGAGGAGGGAGGGCTGCATTACCCCAGGATCCCGGTGCAGATCAGGGGCATGGGTGCTGTGACTGAGGTGACGGTGACTGTGCCCTGCAGGGAGTGAGGCCGGGAACGTCCAGGACATCGTCTCTGTGTGCCAGAGCCTGCACCGCGTAGCCCTGCAGTGCCAGCAGGACGCAGAGGGTTGCTGGTACTACCACCAGACAGTGGTGCCCTGCCTGCTGGCCAAGGTGCAGGCTGCCACACAAGGTGGGTGTGGGGCTGGAGCAGGAGACGGCAGAGCAAGTGGTCTCCCCGGGCTCCCTGGGGTCCCTTACCCTGCAGCCAGCGCTGCTGCTGCCACCCACCGGCAACCGCGGGCACTGCAGAGCCCCGTCCCCACCCAGAGACAGAGCATCCCTGCCCCAGGGCCGGTGTGGGTCTGGGGCTGCGCCTGCCTCAGGACAGAGTGCTCCATTGTGTCTCTTTCCTCCCACTGCCTGCAGAGAGCACCCACCCACTGCTGGGCAAAGCACTGCTAGAGGAAGAGGTGCTGGCTGCCATGGTCGCTGTCATCAGCGCTGCCACCACTCATCTGAGCCCTGAGTGAGTGATGCTGGGGCAGGATGCAGGGCATTGCATCGCATCGTGGGGAGGGGGCAGGCTGCGTTCCCCCCTGCTGCTATCTGTACAGCGAGACCCTGCACCTCCTGGGAGGCGCCCAGGAGCTCTCAGGTGACCCTCCCAGAGCAGCACATTGTGATATCTCCTTTCTCCTAGACTGGCTGCCCAGAGTGTGGCTCATGTGGTACCCCTCTTCCTGGATGGAGAGGTCTCCTTCCTGCCCCAGAACAGTTTTCCCTGCTCCTTCCAGCCCTTTGAGGTGTGTTGGGTATTTGGGTGTGCCAGAACAGGGGCAGGCTATGCGGATGTTGGCGCAGGCTGGCAGCAAGGACTGTGATGACATGGGTGCTGTTCTTCCCTGCAGGATAGGGAGCACTTGGAGGCACAGAGACGCCTGGTCGCCCTCCTCATGGCCTTCGTCTGCTGCTTGCCCCGCAATGTACGTTGGTGGGGAGCAGGGTGGAGAAGGGCCCTGACTGAGCACCCTCTTGCCTAGGTCCACAGCAAGCTCCATGGGTAGAGGAAGAGAGCAGCTGTGGCCCCAAGCTTTAACATCCTCTGTGTCTCTTCCAGG